GGGCTGCACCCTGTCCCCGTGCCCCTCCCCAGGCCTGCGGCACTGCCCAGCCCTAGCGTGGTGGTCCTCCCGGGACGGGCGCTCCCCCAGCCCTGGCAGGCCTCGCTGCTGCTCTGAGCTCCTTCTCTGGGTCCCAGGCCTGGGCCAGGTGATCAGACGGAACTGCTCCACCCGGACCGACACCGTGTGCGGCTGCCGGCGCGGCCACGTCTGTGTGCGACAGGATGGGGACGCCTGCGTCCAGTGCAGGCCCCACAGTGTCTGCCGCCCGGGCCAGAGGCTGCGGGAGACAGGTGAGCGCGGCTCCCCCTGAGGACACAGGCCCCGGACCCCGGCCTGAGGGGGCCCCGAGGAGCCCTCTGCCCGACACTGTCGTTTCTCAGGCACCGAGTGGCAGGACACGCTGTGTGAAGACTGCCAGCCGGGCACCTTCTCTGCGGGGGGCACCCAGGCAGCCTGCACGCCTGACCAGGGTAGGTGACCCGGGTCCCAGGAGGCGCTGCCAGGCGGCCCCCTGGGAGATAAGGGCCCCCCCGCGGGGAGATGATGACCCCCCCCAGCCGCCCCGCTGACCCTGTGCCTCCCACACCGCTGTCTCCTCAGCCCATGGCCCCGTCAGCACATCCCAGATGCTAGCTCAGGGCGCTGTGGGCCAGAGACCCCACCCTGGTGTTCCGGGGTCCCCAATTGTCAGGGCTGAGGGGTCCTGCCACTCGGAGTCAGGGGTGCACACACGAGGCTCCAGAGTGAGGAGTCCCCTCCCCCGGAAACGGGAACCCCAGTGCCCACTTTACACACAGACAAAGACACACACACACACACACACACACACACACACACTCACACCCCGGTGCCAGCTGTGACCTGGCTGCTTAGTCTCTGGCATGACTGCCCAACGAGGCTCTGGGTCCTGTGTGTCCACACTCCCCCATTCCCACCCATCTGTCCTCGTCTTTATCCTCCCCGTTCCTCCTGTCCCCCCCGCTGCCCCCACTCCCCAGTCTGTCCCTCTGTCTGGGGCACTGGCTTTCACAGTCTATTCCTGACACCAGCTCTGCCCTCACCCCTGGCATCTCCTTCGCTGTCCCTCTCTGGTGTCAAGTGTCCCTGTCCCCCGGTTGTCCTGCCTCTTCCTCCCCTCCCTCCGTCTCCCCGTGGCTGTGGTACAGGGAGAGTCAGACGGACCTGAGTACCCCCCAGAGCCCCCTCCCCGGGCCCACCCCAGGCAGCAGCCTTCCCCTCTGTGCACCTGGCTGCTCGGGGACGCTTGGGGTCGGGGTGAGCGCCAGAGACCGAGCTGCCCCTGACCGCTGCCCACCGGCCCCCTCCTCCCTCAGGTGCAGTGGCCCACTTGCCTGAGAAGCGACGCTTGGGACCAGCAGCTCAGACGTGAAATGCTCCCCCTGGGGCCCCGTCATCATCATCGTCATCATCATCATCATCATCATCATCATCATCATCAGCGTCATCCTCGTCATCGCTGTCATTTCTGTGCCACTTGTGCTCAGGGCCATCAGGGACAGAAGGTCATGTGGTGAGCAGGAGCCCCTGGTCCCGTCAGGGCTCAGGTCCCAGCTCTCTCATCCCAGACACCGCTCTGGCTCTGTCCCCCAAATTGAGAGGCGGCCTGGGGTGCCCGGGGGCGGGACTTCCTGTCTGAGGAGCCAGGTGCCCCTGTTGCCCACGCAGCACCAGGGCCCGAGCTCCCACCTGCCCTCAGCGGACGGAGGAGCACAGGGCGCCCGAGAGCAGCAGGTGGCCCCGTCATGCCCCCCGTCCCCTGTCCCTGCCCAGGGCGCTCTGTGTGCCCAGAGCCCGAGGGGGGGCCCTGAGCAGAGAGAGCCTCAGGGCTGTGGGCGAGGCCGCGCCCTGTCCTCACCCAGGAGGTGCCCGGCCCAGGGCCCGGCTCTGAACAGCGGGCGGGTCCCTCCTCCCGGCTCCTGGCAGCCGCTCCCCTGTGGGCTCAGCCCTCCCTGTGGACGGTCCATGGGGCTGAGGTGGGGCCGGGTTGGCAGCAGGGGAGGTGGCAGGGCCCGTGTACTTCCCGTCCCCCGGCCCCGGGTACAGGCCGACCAGGAGCCCGTGCTTGGGTCCTGCTGCCTCTGAGTGGGTCGGTCTCTGGAGGTTCCCAGTGAGCAGCAGGCCCCCTGGTCCCCGGCCGGGCGGCCCCTTCCTGACGGGGCGTCTCTGTTTTGCAGGAGGACTCGCCTTTCCTGGGATATTGCTGCCTGTCCCCACCCTGGCGGTGAGGCTGCTGGAGGTGGGGCGGTGTTGGGGTGGGTATGTCCCTGCGGGGCTGAGTCCTCCGTGGACGCTGTGCTAAGTCGGGGAGGGAGGCCCCGCTCCTGCCCTTGGGGGTGGCTGACCCCGAGCATCGGGCCAGGCGGGAGCGGCCCCTGGTCTTCACGCCGAGTGTCCCTCGCAGGGGACAGGGGAGCCGGCAGAGAGGAACAGGCGTCGGGACCTGCAGGCCTCCCGGGTCCAGCCAGACGTCACCACGGAGCCCGTGGAGGAGACAGCATCCCTGTTCCCTCAGAGGGACCGCCACCTGACACATGTCGTCTGGATTCAGGCGCCTGAGCCATCTCCGCGAGGCTGCGGGCAGCGGCCAGGCCCCCAAAGAGGACATATGTGGTCAGAGAAGCCGCGGGCCCCCCTCCTGGAGGCCAGCCCGCACCTGGCTGAGGAGGAGACCACCCCCTGCGCCGGGGGCTTTGTTGTGGGAAGCCATCCGTTGTCTTCATTATCAGAGGAGTGTAACCAAGGATCCGGGAGCACTGGGGAACCTTGAGCCCTGGCAAGGGCCAGAGCTATGCACCAATTGTTTAGTGCAGACAGTGGAGGCTCAAGCAATTTCCTGACCAAATAGTCTCAGAGAAAATCTTTCTAACATTTCCTGACCTTTAATACAGTCTGTCTGTTACCGCAATTACCTGCCTGACTAAGAGCTAGGTTTGTATTCAAAATTGAAAAAAAGGTTGGCAAGGCCTGAGCACGAGTGGAAGTCCCTCCCCTTGGATTGGGCTTCCCGCCTGGCCCCCAATAATTTCCAAATTGTCATTTCTTGTCTTCTCTCTGTCATTTGTGTGCGGCCCTTCTCCAGACCCTGAACCCTGAACCACCATGTGGGTCATCACACTTTGGGACCCCCCGCGTCTCCCCACCGGGCTCCTGAGGTGCCGACCTCCCCGTCCTGACCCCGCGTGTGAGGCCCTGGCCCAGGGCGCTCCTGCCCCCACCCGCCGCCCGGGCCCAGAGCTCAGCTGCAGGACGGCCCTCAGCCTCCTCCTGGGCTGGGACTGGGACGGGGTCATGTCTGCGCATCACATGACTCACAGTCTGGGAAGCCATTTCCAACTGGCAGTTTTATATGTTTAAATTATCATTATCAATAAAATAACTTGGACAAGATGCTCTGAGGGCAGGTCAGTCTCCGGTTCCGGGTCAGAGAAACCCTGAGACGTGACTCGTGGAGCTGAGCGAGTTTGGGGAGAGACCTCAGCCTGTGAGCATGTTCCACTTCTCACCTGCACTTACCTGCTGATTGTCTCCATGACCAACCACTCACTGGAAGGAGGCCCTGTCCTCAGGTATCATTCACTCACTCACCCATTCACCCATTTATTCATTCCTTCATCCATCCACTCACTCCCTCATCCATCTATTCACCCATTCATCTATTCACTCACTTATCCATCCATCCATTTACTCACTCATTCATTTTTCCATTCATTCATTCATTCATTCATTCATTCATCCATTCACTCATTCCCTTCTCCTTCCATTCACTCATCCATCCATTCATCCATCCCTCATGCACTATTGATGTCGTGGTGCCTCAGCGTTTCCTGTTTCATTCATCGGATGTAACCCACGAATCCCATTGATTCTGGCGCTAAAATTGTCCCAGGTTTCTGCAGAGGGAGTCCCCCCATTTCCCCTCGCCTCCCTGTCCCCTCTGCCCCTGGTGCCTTGGCTCCTGGCCGAAGCTCTGAGCTGCTGTCTGGGGAGGCCTTCTGAGCGCCCAAGGTCCGCTGGGTCTGTGTGTGGGTGGAGCGGTCCCTGAGGGGTGGGGGCGGCTGGGGATTGTTGGGAGCTGCTGCCTCAGGCCGTCAGGCTGTGCTTAGAGGCGACACCGGCTGGCAGGGCGCACACGCCTCACTGTGGAAGCTACACCTTCCCGGCGGGAACGGGAGCGGCTCCGTCGTGGTGGCCGAGGTCACAACCATATGGGGACTTCCAGGCCCCAGGGCAGGGGACGCATCACAGGCCTCTGAGGGCGGGCGGTCGTGGGGCAAATCGGGCGATTTGGCACCAACATGAGCGACAGCCAGAGCCCAGGGCATCAAGTGAGACCATGAGGCCGCCGGGACGCACATGAGCGGGGAGGGCGCCTCCTCCAGGGCAGAGAGGGACCTGCACGGCCCTGGGCCTCCCACCCCCACGGCTCAGGCGGGGTCACCAGTGGGTGAGACTCACCAGAAACAGGATCTGAGCTGCTCTCCGCGCAAACTGTTTCCCCAACAAAATGCTTTAAGGTGACGCCTCAGTGTGTGCGGCTCACTCTCAGGTCAGAGTCTCTCATCAAACCGCACACATCGCGGCAGAATTGATCCGCACGGAATTTATAGCTTTTCCTGCACAGCCGCTGAGATGGTCCCCAGGCCTCTGGCAGTGAGAGGAGGCCTTGGGGCGAAATGCTCAGAGCGGAAGCGAGTTCAAAGCCTCAGATTTCTGTGGCTTCAGAGTGTGATTCCAGCCTTGGGAGGCTGATTGAGGCCTCCTGTGTGGGTGACTGTGGGTGACGGTGTAACGGTGGCTCCAGGACCCCCGGTGCCAGGGCCCCACAGTGGTCACCACCCTCCCGTACAGAGCGGAGGCCGCCGCCCCTGGTCCGTCCCCACGTGACGCTGGCGGTGCTGTCTGTTCCCTGCGTGAGCTCACCTCCCGGCCCCCCTTCATTTCACAGGGGGCGTCTGTCTTTCTCCATTTTTTCAGTAAATCCTCACCCGAGGGTTTTTCTACGGGTTTTAGGGGGCGTGGGGCGGAGGGGTGGGGAGGAGAGAGAAACAGGGGGGAGAGGCCTGGACGGGCCGCCTCCTGCACGCACCCGGCGGGGGTGGGATCCGCCTGCACCCAGGTGGGTGCCCGGGGTCAGGGTGACGCGCTCACCACTGAGCCACAGGCCAGGGCGCAGGTTTGCCTTTCTCAAGCCCCTGCCTGTCGGCCCCGGAGTCCCGCTACCCCGGGCGGCCAGGGCCTGAGCAGGGGCTTCATGGATTGGCGGGGCTGGGGGAGGAGGGAGGGGCCTACCTGCTATCACGCACCCGGGGCTGGTGCACGTCTCCTCCTCCTGGGGCGCTTGGATGGCTGCGGGCGAGGAGCAGTGTGAGCCTGGAGAGGCGGGTGCACAGGAAGGGGCAGGGGGGCGGGTGGGGCCCGGCCTGCACTCCATCTCCAGCCCCAGGGGCAGGCCAGCCAAGGACTGAGGGCGGCCACAGGTCCTCCCCGGGAGCTCAGGCCTGAGGTCTGGAGTGAGGGTGAGCCTCCTTCTGGAGTGGCCCCCGCAGCTGCCCCGGCCCCAGGGCTGGAGCCGCCCTACGCCTGCCTGCCTGCTGCCCGCCAGCTCTCCCTGGTCAGGGGCCACTCCTCCAGGCAGCCCGCTGGCCTGCCCAGCTCCGCACACCCTGCAGCCCAGCCCCCAATGTCACCCCCAGCTGGCGGTCAAGGTTGGGGTGCCGGGCCTCCAGGTAGCGCCAGGCCTGGGGCAGCCTGGTTCCCGCAGCCCGGCCTCTGTCCTCTCTTTCCCTGGGACTCTAGGTGTCCGGGGCGGGCCCTGGCCTGGCCGCACTGGGGGGCCTGAAGCGGGCACAGCCTGGCCGCGGGCTCCCTGCCCCTCTGCCGGTGCCAGGCGCTGGGCGTGCCCACGGGAGGACAAGGCTCCCTCGGGGCTTTCGCGCTGCAGAGGCTTCTCTCCCCGGAGGCGAGCCGGCTGGTGAGCAGTGGCCGCTGCTTCCCTGGGGAGAAACACGCGCTCAGCCCGCGCTCGGCTCCCTGCTGGGCCGCCCTCCCCTCTCCAGGGAGGGCTGCTCACCCCGGTCGTTTGGGGGGGCACTGAGGTCCTGACCCTGGGTCCCTGGCAGAGACCCTGGTCTTTAGGAGATGGCGAGGGGGGAGGCGAGGGGGAGGGAAGGAGGGAATCGACGGGGGAGGCGGCCGGGGGGAGGGGGGGGATGGGGATGGGGGTGAGTGGTAGGGGGAGACAGGTCGCAGCAGGTCCCGCCAGGAGGCCTTGGAATTCCATTGGTTCCAGCCATGGAGCTCGAGCTCCCCCTGCCGGGCAGGTCTGGAAACACAGCGCGCGGTGCTGCAGGGACCCGTGGCGCCAGGTGTGGGGCAGGGGCCAGGCCCCCAAGGACCAGATTCGGGGTCAGGGGAGCCGCGGGACCCCCTCCTGGAGGCCAGCCCGCACCTGGCTGAGGAGGAGACCACCTGCCGCGCCGGGGGCTTGGGACCCCCCCGCGTCTCCCCACCGGGCGCCTGAGGTGCGGACCTCCCCCTCCTGACCCCGCGTGTGAGGCCCTGGCCCAGGGCGCTCCTGGCCCCACTTGCTGCCCCGGGCCCTGAGCTCAGCTGCAGGACGGGCCTCAGCCTCCTCCTGGGCTGGGACTGGGACCGGGTCAGGTCTGCGCATCACATGACTCACAGTCTGGGAAGCCATTTCCAACTGGCAATTTTATATGTTTTAAATTTTTCATTATCAATAAAATAACTTGGACAAGATGCTCTGAGGGCAGGTCAGTCTCCGGTTCCGGTCAGACTTCCAGAGAAACCCTGAGACGTGACTCGTGGAGCTGAGCGAGTTTGGGGAGCGACCTCAGCCTGTGAGCACGTTCCACTTCTCACCTGCACTTACCACTGATTGTCTCCATGACCAACCACTCACTGGAAGGAGGCCCTGTCCTCAGGTGTCATTCACTCACCCACCCATTCACCCATCCATCCATTCACCCATCCACCCATCCACCCATTCATTCATTTTCTCATTCATTCATCCATCTACTCACTCCCTTATCCATCTACTCACTCGTTCATCCATTCATTCACCCATCCATCCATCCATTTACTCATTCATCTTTCCATTCATTCATTCACTCTCATTCCCTCTCCTTCCATTCTCTCACACTTTCATCCATCCATCCATCATGTCCTATTGATGTCATGATGGCCTCAGCGTTTCCTGTTTCATTCACGGGATCTAACCCACGAACCCCATTGATTCTGGGGCTAAAATCGCCCCAGGTTTCTGCAGAGGGAGTCCCTTCAGGGCCCCTGGGTTCCTGTGTCCGTGTCCCTCCTGCCATGGCGCTTCCCTAACTCCCGCCGAGGGGCCTGTGCCGCCTCCGCAGTGTGAGCAGGAGGCGGAGGAGAAGGCCCAGGCCTCTGAGGGTCAGAGATGAGGGTTTGGTCTGAGCCCCGTTTGCACCGGGCGCCCTGGGCCCGGCCCTGTCTCTCTGAGTCCCCACTTCCTGTCTGTGCAATGGGGGCAGGAATGACCCAGCCTGCCCCTTGCAGTCAGGTGGGTGTCAGTGCACACGGTGGGGAGCCCCTCTAGGTGCTCAGGGGTGACAGTGCCCCTCCGCACCCCCAGGGGCCCGGAGTTCCTATGAGAGGCTCACTCTGGAATATGTGGGTGCAAACAGCTCCCCCAGACAGAGGGGACACAGGTCACGGAGGCTCAGAGGGCTCTGCCCGCATGGGGAGAGGCTGCAGGTCAGCTCTCTGGAGGGCAGGGCGACATTGAGTGAGATGCGCTTTGGGGGCGCCCACTTCCATGGAAACTCCCGCGGGGGAGTAGGGGCGGCGGAGGCGGCTCCCGGACAGAACTGCTCTACGGAGCTGGCCCCCCCCCCCCTCCTGGCCCCTCCCCTGGTCAGTTAACCCTTCAGGCCTGTGTGAACCCTCCTGTGTGAGGGTTGGGGCGGGGCGTGTCTGCCCTCCTGGTAGAGGATTGACGGGCCGTTTGGGGGCGGCCACTGTGTGTGTGTCTGTGTCTGTGTTGGGCGGGCCCAGGTGGGGTTAGTATAAAAGCAACAGATGCATTTAGGCTTCACCCATCCAGCCCCTGCCCTCCTCCCGTCTGTCCCTCTGTCTGGGGCACTGGCTTTCACAGTCTATTCCTGACACCAGCTCTGTCCTCACCCCTGTCATCTCCTTCCCTGTCCCTCTCTTGTGTCATGTCCCTGTCCCCGGTTGTCCTGACCCTTCCTCCCCTCCCTCCGTGTCCCCGTGGCTTTGGGACAGGGAGAGTCAGACGGACCTGAGTTCCCCCCAGAGCCCCCTCCCCGGGCCCACCCCAGGCAGCAGCCTTCCCCTCTGTGTGCCAGGCTGCACAGGAGACGCTCGGGGTTGGGGTGAGCGCCAGGGACCGAGGTGCCCATGCCCGCTGCCCACGGGCCCCTCCTTCCCCAGGTGCAGTGGCCCATTTGACTGGGAAGCTACACCTGGGACCAACAGCTCAGACGTGACATGCTCCTCCAGGGTCCCGGTTATCATCATCAGCGGCAGAGTCATCCTCGTCATCCTCGTCATTGCTGTCATTTCTGTGCCACGTGTGCTCAGGGCCATCAGGGACAGAAGGTCACGTGGTGAGCAGGAGCCCCTGGTCCCGTCAGGGCTCAGGTCCCAGCTCTCTCATCCCAGACACCGCTCTGGCTCTGTCCCCCAAATAGAGAGGCGGCCTGGGGTGCCCGGGGGCAGGACTTCCTGTCTGAGGAGCCCGGTGCCCCCGGTGCCCACGCAGCACCAGGGCCCGAGCTCCCACCTGCCCTCAGCGGACGGAGGAGCACAGGGCGCCCGAGAGCAGCGGGAGGCCCCGTCATGCCTCCCTCCCCTGTCCCTGCCCAGGGCGCTCTGTGTACCCAGAGCCCGAGGGTGGGGGGGTCCTCAGCAGAGAGAGGCTCAGGGCTGTGGGCGAGGCCGCGCTCTGTCCTCACCCGGGAGGTGCCCGGCCCAGGGCTTGGCTCTGAGCAGCGGGCGGGTCCCTCCTCCGGGCTCCTGGCAGCCGCTCCCCTGTGGGGCCTCAGCCCTCCCTGGGGATGGTCCACGGGGCTGAGGTGGGGCCGGGTTGGCAGCAGGGGAGGTGGCAGGGGCCCGTGTCCTTCCCCGTCTCCCGGCCCCGGGGACAGGCCGACCAGGAGCCCGTGCTTGGGTCCTGCTGCCTCTGAGCAGGTCGGTCTCTGGGAGGTTCCCGTGAGCAGCAGGGCCCTGGTCCCCGGCCGGGCGGCCCCTTACTGACGGGGCGTCTCCTTTTTGCAGGAGAACTCGCCTTTCCTGTGGAATTGCTGTCTGTCCGCACCCTGGCGGTGAGGCTTCTAGGGGGACCGGGGGACGCAGGTCCATGCGGGGCTGAGTCCTCCGTGGACGCTGTGCTAAGTCGGGGAGGGAGGCCCCGCTCCTGCCCTTGGGGGTGGCTGACCCCGAGCATCGGACCAGGCGGGAGCGGCCCCTGGTGTTCACGCCGAGTGTCCCTCGCAGGGGACAGGGGAGCCGGCAGAAAGGAACAGGCGTCGGGACCTGCAGGCCTCCCGGGTCCAGCCAGACGTCACCACGGAGCCCGTGGAGGAGACAGCATCCCTGTTCCCTCAGAGGGACCGCCACCTCACACATGGCTGCGGGATTCAGGTTCCTGAGCCATCCCCGCGAAGCTGCTGGCAGTGGCCAGGCCCCCAAAGACGACATATGTGGTCAGGGGGCTGCGGGCCCCACTCCTGGAGGCCAGCCCGCACCTGGCTGAGGAGGAGACCACCTGCTGCTGTGGGGGCTTTGGTGTGGGAAGCCATCCGTTGTCTTCATTATCAGAGGAGTGTAACCAAGGATCCCGGAGCACTGGAGAACCTTGAGCCCTGGCAAGGGCCAGAGCTATGCACCAATTGTTTAGTGCAGACAGTGGAGGCTCAAGCAATTTCCTGACCAAATAGTCTCAGAGAAAATCTTTCTAATATTTCCTGACCTTTATTATAGTCTGTCTGTTACCGCAATAACCTGCCTGACTAAGAGCTAGATTTGTATTCAAAATTGAAAAAAAGGTTGGCAAGGCCTGAGCACGAGTGGAAGTCCTTCCCCTTGGATTGGGCTTCCCGCCTGGCCCCCAGTATTTCCAAATTGTCATTTCTTGTCTTCTGTCATTTGTGCGTGGCCCTACTCCAGATCCTGAACCCCGAACCAGGCAGGATGTGGGTCATCACACTTTGGGACCCCCCCGTCTCCCCACCGGGCTCCTGAGGTGCTGACCTCCCCCGTCCTGACCTAGCATGTGGGCCCTGGCCCAGGGCGCTCGTGCCCCCACCCGCCGCCTGGTACCCTGAGCTCAGCTGCTCAGCTGTAGGATGGGCCCTCAGGCACCTTCTGGGGCTGGCACTGGGATGGTGGTCATGTCTGCACATAACATAACTCACAGTCTTGGAAGCTGTAGGGAGCAGCTCTAGGGTCAAGCCTCGGGCTGACTTGTGGCAGGGCCACCAACAAGTCCCAGCCTGGAGGGCAGAGCTCTCCTAGCATAATTAAGCTTGACCTTGTAGCCCTCCCTAATTCCTTCCTAAGTGGCTAATGGGCTGTGGGAGGTGCAGCAAGTGTTGCCAAGACAAGAACATTTGTATACATGTTAATCTGCCCTTGTTTTAATCAGACTATAAAATAAAGCAGCAGCTTGCAGGCTGGGTCTTTTGTGTCCTCATCCAGGCACGGGAGGTCCACCGAGCCCCAGCCGAATTCTCTTGTCTGTCTTTTCTTCAATCCTTCACCGCCCCTCCTCAGGTTCGCCTTTGGCCGTGCTGGTGCGGCACATGTGGCGCCCAATGTGGGGCCTGAGTACAGGGGAACTACAATTGCAAGGTGAAAGGACGCTCCAGTGAAGCACGTGCAGAAAGCAAAAAGTAAGGAAAGGAGCGAAGTTTAGTGTGAAACATGGCAAGTTCAGACTGTCCAAATCTGAGGACTATAAAGAAAAATCGGCCCCTCCAGAAGGAAATCTGACAGCACCAGCCTCACATCGACGACATCTTTGCATCGATGACAGCTTCAAGAGGAGCTAGAGCAGGGCCATTGACAGCAGCAGCCTGAGTGCCGAGCCCATCCCACAGAGGCTCGCCGACCTGCAGCAGCTGTGGGGCCTCCTCCTCGAGGAGACAGAGAAGTGGCACCGGCGGCCGGAGGAGGTGCAGGGCACCCAGAGAAGCTCCGTGTCCTTTTGTTCAAAAGACTGCGAGTTGCCCCAATGACAGCGATGTGGAAAAAGACAACAAAGACTACGCAGGGGACCGAGGTGCTGACTAGCCTTGGTGAGCTGCCAGTCTTCTGTAAAGTCTTGTGCAGCCAAGTCCAAGGACTGTGAGTAAATATACACCAGCAGCAAAAGAGACTTTCATTTAGTGGCTGAAAATGTGAACACATCTGTAGTTTGATTTCTCTCTTATCACTGTGTCACATTGGCATTGTTTGTTATTGTTTTAATAGAGTTTTGTTCTTGATGTTCAAGTTTTAAAAATGTTAAACATGTCTGTAGTTTGATTTCTCTCTTATTACTGTGTTGCTTTAGCATTGTTTTTTGTTATTGTTTTAATGGTCAGAGTTATGTTCAAGTTTACTTTTATTATAGTAGCTTAAAAACAAAAAAAGGGGGAGATGTCGGAGGCAGCATATAATTGCGCGTGTTTGGGGAGAGACTTTAGCCCAGCGGTTCTCAACCTGTGGGTCGCGACCCCTTTGGCGGTCGAACGACCCTTTCACAGGGGTCGCCTAAGACCATCCTGCATATCAGATATTTACATGACGATTCATAACAGTATCAACATGACAGTTATGAAGTAGCAACGAAAATAATTTTATGGTTGGGTCACAACATGAGGAACTGTATTTAAAGGGCCAGAAGGTTGAGAACCACTGCTTTAGCCTATGAGCACATTCTATTTCTCACCTGCATTTATCAATTGATTTTCTCCTCTGAACACCACCACTGCACTGGAAGGAAGAACTGTCCTCATGTATCATTCATTCACTCATCCATTCACCCACTCACTCATCCATCCATTCACTCACTCATTCCTTCATCCATTCACTCACTCACTCATTTCTTCATGCATCCACTCACTTCCTCATTCATCCATTCACCCATCCATTCACTCGCTCACTCATTCCTTCATCTATTCACTCACTCATTTCTTCATGCATCCACTCAGTCCCTCATCCACCTATTCATCCATTCACTCATCCATCCATCCATCCATCCATTTACTCACTCATTCACTTATTCATTCACTCTCATTCCTTCATCCTTCCATTCACTCACCCTTTCATTCACTTATCCATCCATCCATCTATCTTGGCCAGTCTGCTACCCTCTGCCGGTGCTGTCTGTTGTGAGCTGTGGGTCAGATTTCTCACCCAGGACCTACCACTAATGGCTGCAGAGGGAGTTCTGATCCTGGATCCCCAGTCAGGGGCCCTCCCAGCCACCTCCAGAGTCTGTGCCACAGGCGGGCTGCCTCTCCTGGCGGTGGTGCCAGAGGAGCCAGAACCCTGGGCTTACCCAGCCTGGGGCCCTGTCCATCTCCCAGAGCCTCTGGGGGGTCCCCAGCTGGCCAGCCCCTGTCTGGGTGCCCAGGCGGGCCCTGCTCCTGGCTGTGCGGGGCTCCTGGGGCCCGGCTGGCTGCTGGCCTGGCTGTTCTGTGCGCCCCCTCCCGCCCCCAGCCCCTGGTGAGTGGGGTGCGGCCTGATTCTGGGACTGGTCTGTGCAGCCTCAGAGGCTGGGGTGAGTCTGCACTGAGGAGCGGGACCCGGACCAGCCAGCTGTGCCTTTGCAGGTGCCACCGCCGAAGCGACCTGCGCTGCCCTGGGGAAACCAGGCCTGAGGTGGCTGCCAAGGTCTGTGACACCCCCCAGTTCTGTGGGACTTGGGGTGACTGGAGCCTCCTGAGGGCTCCCCTCTAGGTCTCTTCCCTCCAGGCCAGGGTGGTCCGCCAGGGGACCCTGTCTGAGAACCTGCCGCCGAAAACAGGGCCGCTGGTGGTCACCCACGGTGGGTGGGGGCTGAGGGGCGCCCGGGGCCAAGGCCTGGTCCATGGGGAGCCAGGGCCCCGTCCTCAGGGGGAAGGCCCGGCTTCTGGGTGGGGGTAGCAGCTCTCCTCTCAGGCACCAGGTGGGTCATGGTGGCCCAGGTGGCCCCATCCTGCTCGCATGGGGCCCCTGGCCACCCCCCGTGGCTGCAGGTGTGGCAGGGCTGCCCCACTCGGTCCAGGTGTCCCGGGCTGCTGCATCCCCCAGCAGTGCACCCTGCAGCCCTGGACCTTTCTGGGGAGGTCTGTGCCAGGGAGCCGCCCCAGGGAGCCCGGCTCCCGCTACCCCCTCCCCTCCAGCTCCCCTGGGTGGAGCGCTTGGCAGGGCCAGGGGCCGAGCTGGGCCTTGCAATGTTAGGTCACCCCAGGATGCCAGTGTCACCCCTCGTCGTAGAGGGGAAACAGGCTGAGCCCAGTGAGGGTGTGGGCCCGGAGGCCTGCTGGGCAGCCAGGAGGGCCTTCCCCACGGCTGGAGGCTGAGCAGCTCCCCGACTGCAGTCCCCAAGGTGACTGGGGTGGGGGGGATCCTGGAGGCTGAGCTGTGCCCTGAATGGAGGGGAGTGTCCAGTAAGTTCCCTTCTGCACAGACTGCTAGTGGGGGGCCCAGTGTCCTTGACCCTGGGGGTGGGGCTGCTGCCTCCACAGTGTGACCAGGAGGCTCCAGTGAAGGCCCAGGCCTGAGGGGTGTGGGAGGCGGCCGCTGCCCCAGGCCAGGCAGGGGGATGTGCAGGCTGTTCCGGGATCTCTGGGCCCTGAGCCCTGCCTGCCGGGCGGCCGCGAGCACGGGGCATTGAACTGCAGTCACTTCATCCACCGGGAGCCGTGCCCTTGGGACCAACGGGCAGTCAGAGTCCTGCAGCCTCACTGGGAGCTCAGGGCGTGCACAGGGGCGCCAGGGGTCTGAGCAGCCCCAGGTGCAGTGACAGGGTGGGGCTGGGCCCCGCGTGATAACGGGGTGGGGTGGGGGGTGGGGCTCCTGTGTGTTGGGAGCTAAAGGGGTGCCCAGGGAGTTGGGAGGAAGGACAGACTGAGAAAAAGACTAGTCTGCCCCAGGCACCTTCACTGACGTGGGAATTGTCACTTGCCCCTGTGGGGTGGCTGGTGGGGGCCAGGGACTTCCGGCAACCCCCTCCCCTGCCTTCCATGTGGGGTGCACCAGCCTCTCACGCCCAGAGCCCACCCCTCCTGGGGCTCTATGGACTGAGTGGGTTCAGGTCCCCCCCCAGTAGCTCCCTTGTACCCCTGGTCTGGACCCCTGGTCTGGCCCTCTCCTAGCTAGCCCCCCAGCTGCTGGATCCCCTCCCCCTCTCCCTCCTCCCCTTTCTCCCCTCCTCCCCCCAAAGCTCAGGGCAGGGGGAGGTGTCCTCTGGTGCTTTAACTCTCCACTGGCTTCCGGTCCACAGAACCCCAAATCCAACTTCTGGGCTGGGGCCTGGGGTCCCCTCCGACCTCGGCTCCTTCCTGCCCGCGGGTCCCCCGAACGCCAAGGGCCATGATTGGGGGGCACCCTGACCACTGCCCTGACCCCGCACAAGGACCCCGCGGGGCCCCCAGAGCGCCCAAGGCCACGGGCGCAGCCTCAGCGGGACCGAGGCGGGAGGGTGGGGGCGGGGGAGCCCGCGCTGACCCGCCGGGAGGGCGGTGCGGACACCCGCGGCCCAGAAAGACACGTGCGGCTTCTCTGAAGCGTTTACTGAGCTCAAGTCTGAGCCGGTGACACGAGGACGCGCGTGGAGCGGGCGGGAGGCAGGCAGAGGCGTCGCCGGGGGCGGCACGGGGCGCGGCGCCGGGTTCTGCTCACCCCGGGTCCCCACCGAGTCCCGCCGGTGCGGGTCTGGCCCGGGGCGCACGCAGGTCCCCGCCGGCCGCACTGTCTCAGCGCCGGCGGGTCGCCTCGGACTCGGACTCGGACTCGGGTGCGCGGGCAGCGCAGCGTGGCTCGGCCTCGGCTACCACACGCGGCATCGCACCCGCGGGTGCATGGGGGTGCCCCGCGCGCAGTGGAAGGCGTCGGAGAAGGCGGCCAGGTTCTGCAGGGAGCCCAGCACCCTGCGGCACAGGAGGCCTGAGACGCGGGGGCCGGGGGCGCGGGGGGGTGGGGGGTGGGGGGTGCGGGGGACGCAGGGGACGCGGGGGCCTCGTGGGGGGCCCGTGGGCCGCGGGGGGCGCAGGGGCGCGGAGCGCACGTGCCTGAACTTGAGGGGGCTGTGGACGTCCGTCTTGATGGACTGCACGGCGAACTCGGGCCGGTAAGAGCCGCACCACACCTGTGAGCGCGGGGGCGGGGCTGTGGGCGGGGGCGGGGCCTGGAGGGGCGGGGCTGGCGGGCGGGGGCGCGGCTGGAGGGCGGGGCTGGCGGGCTGGGGGCGGGGCCTGGAGGGGCGGGGCTGGCGGGCTGGGGGCGGGGCTGGAGGGGCGGGGCCTGGGTTAGGACCAGGGGTCAGAGGGCCCCTGAGCAGCCGAGGAGGG